TCCAGGCCGCTAAAAAGCAATCCTGATCATTAACTCACGCATACATGATTAAAATCTACTTCTCAATCCATCGATTTTAGACCGAATGGATGCGACAAGCGTCCAACGTCTTGATTACTATGCACTGCATTCTGACAATAACAATCGTTATCAATCCACTGAATCAGGATCTCGAGGACCTCTTCCATTGCCCACATCGTTAGTTCACTATTAGCTTTGAATAGCCCTAGCGATTTCTAATTTATCACTTACAGATTTCGGTTGGCAGCGAGTGCTGCTTCGAACAGGGACCATGCTAGCGGTTGTATTTGTCGGAGAGAGTATTCCTAGTTTTGGACCCATACTGGATCTCATTGGTTAGTCTGAATATGATCTGAATTATAATCATGAATAGTATTGAACACGTACACGGAATGAAAGGTTAATGTTCTGTCTCGCAACGTCCGTTCACCTGGGTAAGAGTTCCTATGAGGGAGCGATTCTTCTCTCATGCTCACTTAGATTTTAGGACTGATTTCTGACGCGACCTAATACAGATTGGGAATCCTAATAGAGTCACGAAGTTTAAGGCTCCCACTCGTTCCCTAAGCTCAGCTGCTCTTATCCTGATCATATCTATCATGCCTTTGACTTTGCTTGTCCTTACCTATTCCCTATAAACTCTAATTTGACTTGAAATCTAGCCTTGGTTTAAGTTCTAGCAACGCCCACCCGAGCAACGCCGGGGTAGGAACTTCTTCACATTTCCCACTAACGAGGTAATTTTCAGACTCATTTTCAGCTAAGCCACGGGAACGTCTCTTGCACCTTTTTTTACAGAGACCGTTATTAGCGACCAATATACAATCCCTTGGCTTAGACTGATTGTTCTGCAATAGCAGGAATCTTGGCATAGCCCATTCACTTCATTCACGCCGCGCTTGCTTGGCCTCTGATTGCCTCTTTCAGTTGTCTTCAAGAGCCAACCCTTCAATGAGACGTGAATGCTTTTCCTATTTTCCTTAATCCTCTTCCTTAAATCCTTACGATAAGCTCCGTATATCGACCAACTCCACAACTACTCTCCATCAGAGACAATTTGCCTCTTTTATTGTAAATTACCCACGATTCTCGATGTGCTCTTTTTTCAGGTGGATCCACACAGACTTTGGCGTGTGTCATTTTTCCCGTTTTATTCTATGTCTACCTACTTGCTCGACAAAGGAAAGCTGAGAAATTCAATAAACATGATGATTCTCCTCCTAGCCTCCGAGAGTAAGTCCGTTTCCACCTCCGTTTGACATATCAGATGATACGTACATATATGTGTATGAAATTCGACATTTTTTAGTGTACTCACTTATGCTCCGCGTAAAACGTTAATCATCTGTATCTTTATAGTAGGTAAGTTCTCTGTTGGAGTTCGTGTTTCTTTCAATACTTCGATTTTCCGTGATAGATTTTGATCAATTATCAGGGTTGGAAGGAAGGTTACAATCACAGCCTTAGTGTGCTTCTATTCCTTCTTGCATACACTAGACCCTTTCAATACAGTTACACCAGCAACATTGCAGTCAAACATGTTATCAAATAGTAGCTAACCATATATGGCCGTTGAAAGAGTAGGACCGTAGGCGCAGTGGCTATTCGTCCCGAGATCCTTCGTGTGTTTCCGATCGCTGATTGTTAATTCGCATCGTCCCCATCACTACACATCCGCAAACGGCAAACAGAGCCCGACGGACGCCTGAATTCTCGGAGGAGAAGCTTGGATTATTTTGTTACCAGAATGTTTTGCAGATTTGAGATCAGCGTTCGAAAACACATACTACCCCGTACATGAAATACTTAGTGACACTTCTGTGCGACCTGATATCCTTCCCTTACTTGTCCCTGCACATATTCCGCAGTGGTCCATTCGCAATTTCAGTTCTTGGCATTATCGGAGGTGCAGCCGCCACCTTTTCTGCTGTGATTGAACTTTCAACAACTCGCTTTTCATTGCCATGCTACGTCAATCTGTTCATTAATGAGGTAACCGATTTTCTGGTGTTATTATGTAATAATAGCATGATATTGACGGCAAAAAACTAGGGATTTGTGATATGGAGTGATTCATGACATAAGACTGTGCCAATGAAAAGAGTCGTTCGTTTGGTTAAAAGCCCGGTTGACCCATGTTAGATGAACTGCCCTGCCTCATCGTGCAAATTGGACAAAAAATTCCGGAACGATGCAGTTTCATTTTAGTCTTTCAAAAGAGTCCTTTCCAGATCGTGCTGAACATGGCTGATTTCATTTAGTTCGCGCAACCTTGATTAGTTCCACCCTTGCGAAGTAGAATAGCCTCAGTTGGATTCCAATCAAAGTGGAAAGAATCCCGGCAAATCTTAGTGTCTTTCCCGACAAAGAAGGTGTAAACAACCAAAAAGTGTAAACATTGCCAGAAAGAGCAGAAGTACCTAATCCGATAACGATTTCAGAAGAACGCAGAAGATACTACAGCAAGTGTCTATTGTTGTGGTGCTTATCAAAATATCACCCACAATGGTCTCACGGATCAGTGCGTCCCTATGCCTAAGATTCCCTTTTATAGCTGAAGAGTTGCATCTCTATTAGCATCATCTTTTATGGAAAGTAACATCAGACAACAGAATTGCAATGAAATTCATTAAAGCATGGAAAAGTGGTTTAAAATGGGCTGTTGCGTCTCAATCCTGTCATATTGCATAGAATTCATTCTCAAAGGTTTAACATCAGAAATTCCAGAGAAGGGTTTTTCATACAAGCTTTCTTCGAACAATTCCTGCACGCTGTAGACGTGTTGTCTGTACGTAGAGTGAGGGTATCATTCCCTTTTTCGCCCCTTTCTGGATAATCTGGGATGCTGAGGAAACCTGTCCTACAACTTGTCTCTTTATGCGTTAATATTTTGCTAATTATTACTATTGTCGTTATTATTATTATATTGAGATACTTAATTTTGGTATTGTAACGAGTAGGGACTTTGGACCGGAGAGTCAGCGATAGATGTATGTATTCTGTCACTGTGAATGCTACGTGAAAGGTGCAAATTGAATTCCAATGAAGAATCATCCAGTCCTTCAAATCTACCCTGAACACTGCTTTCCCCAGCTGGAAACCTCGCACTAGAAACCACCATTGTTTTGACCTTCTCTTTGCATCTCCGCAACGTGTGGAAAGCCTGTTTCAAGAGGATTTTCGTGTTGCCAAGAGCTTGCATACTTTTGTTAGTCAACAACGACTCACAACACCACACATTTGGAAAAGCGTCTTTCGGGAATTAGCTAAATCTTCTCGAAATATTTATCGATTCGTTATCACTGGGACCTACTAGGCTGTAAAAACTGCTTACTACCGTGAGTATCGTAATTGATGAGCATTGTTAAAAATCACTGATTCAATGCAGGATGTTTGCTCAAAACTGTTAGCATGAGTATTTGTTGTAGTTGTTGTTTTACAGTTTCAATTTAATTCAATTGTGTTCTTTTACCATGAAGTTGAATAAATTTGAATGAACAAGACTGCAGTCTTAACGCAGAATCGAAAACGAACCTAACTGGAAATGGTGTAAGAAGGTGATTGCCCAGTAAGTGAAAGTAGCAATGGACCAGTAAATAATGAATTTGGTTGCTAGTCATAAGGCTGCTTCCTTGCCGTTGTCGAAGGGTCTTTTGTTTCGTTTTTTTTCTGAATTATCCTTCAAACAGGCCTCCCCAAACTTCTTAATTGTGTTCTCATAGTCACGGTTAGGTCGCTGTGTTCTAGACATTGAAGGACAGGAAAATTGCTTGATTCGAATCGTCGACGGATCAACGTTATCTTCGGTCAAACATAGTACATAGTTTTGAGAGTGTTTCGACAGCAGTGGGTGAATCATTGTCTCGCGACTTCGACGGTAAGTCGGGTTTTGAATACGTCTTGTATGTTGCCCTATCCTGGGTATCAATTAAAAGGTTCCGCTCACGGCCATCGCAAAGTGAAGATCATCGATTATTAATACAGTGCGTTTCATAATTATAGGGTCACCCTCAAATTTTGCGCTTTCAGAAAAAGCAATCATTAAGGATTTTTCTAGCATCATGAACGGATTCCCCAGCACGAATAATCTAGGTATCCGTTTTTTACCCAGAGCTGCATTTTTCTGAACTTTTTTAGAACAGTTTATCGGTTTTTGCACCGTTTCATAATTATAAGGTCACCCTGAGAAAGTGAACAATTATTCATGGGAGAGAGGAAATTTCGTAGTTGAGGATACTTATAAAGGTAAGCATGTGTAGCAAATGCGTTTCTAAACCTGGCTATCAGCATGACTCGTGGTCATCTGCTTTCATCTGATGAGAAGGCTCATCATGAAGGTGGGCTCAGTACTCGAGCCATCTCCAGGCAAATAGGGAGATCCCATTGGTCCATTCAAAGATTTCTGGAGAGCCCTGATGTTCCTAGATATAACGCCGACTGTGGACACCCATGAAAGATTACTGCCCGTGACGAGCAGAAGATTCTGAGGACTGTTTCCAATAGTGCGTCCTCCTTGAACCAGATCCGATCGGAATTAAATCCCTCTGCGTCGAAAACTACAGTCTGGAGCGCAGTAAGAAGATGCAAGAACATCATCAGGCAAGCAATGGAGAAGGTGCCACGAATCACCGATCGCCACAAAGAGGCTCGACTCGGATTTGCAAAGTTGAACCTAGGGAGAGATTGGGCAAAGGTAGATCTGCATC